CTCTTCTTCTATTTCCTTCCACCTTTCTCTGCATTGTATACTTTCCCAGAGAGCTAGATGTTTTCTAATGGGTCCAAAATATAAAAATTCAGGCCTGGTCATTTGTACCTCAAGTGAAAACTCTGGGTTGATCTGTTTGTTTTCTTGGCTATCCTTAGTATTCTTGGTAGTCTTCTCTAATAAAACAAAACATAAAGCAATATTAATAAATAAAAACCCACAATACAAAAACTCATAACATTACCAACGGGCAATCTAGATTCAAGTGGGTTCAGTTGAAAAAGTGGTGCTTTCTGGTCTCAACCCCTTCATGGCACTGGCACATCGCTAGTAGCTTTTCTTAGGTAAATCTTCAGACAGGTTGACTAGGGAAGGAATAGGTTATCCTAAACATACTTTGGCATCAAACATTAGAAAGCCTCATCAAGCAAGACTAGCACTTTGAATTATACTCTGAAATGTATTATCAAGGCTGACAAGATAGGTATATATATACACATACTGCAGCAGCAAACATCAATCAATAAGCATTTTGAACTGAGAATGATTTCCAACCAGTCTATAAAGGTAGAACTTAAAATCTGGGAAAGCTCCTAGAGGTAATTTCATTCTCTCTGGATTACTAGAGGAAAATAAAGATTGGTGGGCCAGTGCTGGCTGCCCTATTTACTTATATTACCAGCTCAGCACATTTTCTCTCAGGGGAATGAGACCATAGTCTATAAGGATGAAGGAAATAGACTTAATGGACTTAAATTACAAATTAAATTTGTAATTTAAATTACAAGCTTAATAGCTTGCCTCATACTTAAGCAATCTAGAAAATACCTTTATTTAAAATTATTGGATCAGGTCTAAAGTGAGAATATCTTTCTGAAAAGCAGATGGGATTTAGACTACACTGTTTAGCTGAAAAATATATAGCCCAAAGGATTCCTTTTTGCAACCTTTGCCGAATAGAATAGAATAGAATAGAATAGAATAGAATAGAATAGAATAGAATAGAATAGAATAGAGCTGGAAGGGACCTTGGAGGTCTTCTAGTCCAGCTCCCTGCTCAAGCAGGAGAACCTATACCGTCTCAGACAGGTGAATGTCTAGTCTCTTCTTTAAAATCTCCAGTGATGGAGCACCCACGATTTCTGGGGGTGTAAGCTGTTCCACTGGTTGATTGTCCTCACTGTCAGGAAGTTTCTCCTTAATTCCAGTGTTGTAATTCAACATTCATTTATCCCATTGTAAAGAACTACCTTGGTAGAGAATGTGATGCCTTTCAGTCACTTCTTCTATCCTGTCAGGACACTGATATATCTGTCCAGGTTGCCTGATTTTGTCCCTCAATTTGTTCTATTCCCTTCTATGATTATAAATTAGCACTAATTCTGGTGATCACCACCACCATTGTTGTTACATCAGTTTTATTTTTGATGATAGTAGTACTCAATGATCTATCGGTATGCTTCTCCCTACTGTATATTTGCTAGTGCTATATAATATGATTGCAAGAATAAGATCAGTACAAGGAAATGATAGCAAAACCCAAAACTATTTCACTGTTTTCACTTACCAGTAATAGTTTCCAAGAATTGATTATTATTTTACTGATTTGAAGATAGCAGTTAAAAACTAAATGCATGTATCTCTCAGACATATCCCATGTAGTTTTACTCATTCTGGTGGATTAAGAAAATTAACTCCCAACTATCTTAAATCAAAGATACTAAGTATCAGGACTGTGAGAAATAGGCATGATTCAATTTGAGATTTTAAGGCAAACCGGTTAAATTTAATCTGCTTTGAGATTGCATTTGAAAAAGCAAACTCATAGGCTACGGGGAAAACATCAGCATTTCTTCAAATACTTTCTTCTTTTTTTTTTGCAAAATGAAATGAATGATTGTTTTGAGAACAGAGTCAGCAAATTTCAGGTTGAAAAATACTGACTTTACATAGAGCCAGCATCTTTTTGGGATGGAACCTTGTAGGGTAGGCAAGGCAGGTTGTATGACGTGTGTGAGTTCCAATACAGTAGGGAGATACAATATCTCCCTCTTGTAACCTCATTATCAATATTTGGTAAGTTATATGCTAGCCACTTCTCTGGTTTATTTGCAGATTCAAAATTTTGACTCTACATAATTCATTTTTATTTCTATTTCTTTTACTGTTAACATAGTGTTGTTGTAAAAGCTTAATTTGTTAAGACATACTTATTTTCTGTGAAAATTTTTCTTTTTTTCTCATTCAAAATATTTTGGGTTTTCTCTTGATTCTTTTTTTTTTTTAGTTCACTATTGTATAAACTAACCTCTAATAAAAACTTTACTTTCATTCCAAACCATTTTAAGTCAGTACCTTTACCTAAATTATTTTCAAAAAAAGTTTAAATTTCAATTTATAATTTTCCACCATTGCATCTTTTTATAGCAATATTTAATTTCGTCTCCATCAAAAAGAAATAATTTTTCTTTTATAAACCAAACTTACAATATTATGATTGAAAAATGTTTTTGGTAATATCTCTACTTCAGAAACCTTAATAGCCAGGTTCTTTGAAATCCAAATCATGTTTTCATTTAAGGCATAATTTCCCAGCATCAAAATCTTAATCCCATGCAAAATAAATTCCAGCCCAGCACCTACCATGCTCATCAATCAGTACAAGTTCTGGTTGTAGTTGGGGATTTATATACAAAACAACTCCATTTCTTTTTTTTTCTTCCTGTTGAAATAAATGATTCACCCAATTTTTTTTATCAATCAAATAGTTTATGTCCTTTTTTTCCTAATGTGTCTCTTGTGAGCAAATTGCATCTTATTTTATTTTTTTTCAAATAATGATTTTTTTTACCTTTTGAGGAGCATTTACTCCATTTATATTTCATGTTAAGCATTTGTAAGCCATAATCAAACCAAAATTTTTCTAAAAATTGATTCTAAAAAGCAATATCTGTAGCGCCTAGTTCAGTATCATCCATTTCAGCTTCCTATTGCACCTGTTAGAGTTTTTTTGTAATCTTTTCTGATACTACAATTAGGCATTGCCTTTCTAGAAATTCTCTTGTATTTTGGTTTGAATTCAATTGAAACCTCTGTTATTTAAAAGTAAAAATTATACCTTCCAATTTGTCCTATCGAAATCAATCTTTTTCTGCTTTAGTCTCTCATCAAAGAAAAAAAAACTCTTTCTCTTATGAAAAAAATCTAATTAAATAATTACAAACAAAGCAAAGCAAAATATTAATCTATTATTAATCTTCAGTCTTATATTAAAAAGCTGCTACAAAATTAATCTCTTGTCTTCTTCCTGACAAATTGCACCAAAACATTGGAACATTTCTTAGTCTTGCAAACCTTATATTTATTCTGTATACTTTATTGATTTCTGCCTGTTTCTTTTTCACCCCAATCCAAAAAAATTACTAAAGCTTTAGTAATCTTTTCTCTAATATCTTGACTAGAATTCTCTGTGATTGATCTAAATCTCAAATAAAATTCCTTTTCTCTACATTCAAATAGACCCAGATCATCTAGTTCTCTTTCCAACTTTCAGTCTATAACTTATGTCCTACTCTCCATGGTTTCCATGCTGTCATTGATTTGTTTTACATCTCCAGACACCTATTCTACTGAGCTTTCCATCTTCCATCCATAACTTCTTTCATCTGCTCTTTCATCTTTACATGTCTTTCATCCAATGTCTTTTTTCAAAAACTGTCTAAATGAGTCAGCTAGCTTATTGGATAGTTGCTGAGACATTTTCTGAAGCAAATCTGATATAATTCCTCTCTCTGCAGGTTGTTCTAGTGGTCTTCTCCTCCTCTCCCTTTATATACCTAGTAGTAGGTTTTGCCATTCTACATGATCCTATCCACCCCTGTTGTTATTTGATATCTTTTATTCTCTGTCTACATATTGGCATTATTGTAATTCATAATAAGGAGGTATTCATCTAAAAGACCATAAGAAGCAAGTTTGGGTACTATAAGACCAATACAACTTAAATTAAATATCTCAGAATTAAATCTTTCAGCAGCAGAAAGCTCAAAAGTATTCTGCTGATTCAAAGCATCAAGAACTGCCACATTCAGGTCATTCTCTGAGCAATTAAAATATGACACAACTCATTGATTATCACAAGGATTTGGAATTTTTGCTCAAACTTTTCCAGACCTCAATAGCTTATGTGACAGAATCAAAAAACAAAGAGTCTTAAAATACACTATTAAAGTCATACATTCTCCATCCCTAATCACTCCTCATAAAGATGAGCATGATGGCTTAAATTATGGTATTATTATTTAGTAAATAATTGTATTAAATAATTACAATAGATAAGGTATTGTATATATTAATATTTAATTAAAAACCAGTAACAGTCAACAGCCCATTTTAACTCACACAGATAATATAGCCTTTATATTATTATAGATACATCTCAAATAAGCAATCATTGCATTGCGGGAACTGAGATTCCTCACTATTCAAGATAGGATTTAATGGAAAAATGTATATAAATTTTGTCCACTACAGCTAGTCCTTGACTCACAAACATTCATTTAGTGACTGTTCAAAGTTACAACAGCACTGAAAATAGTAACTTATGACAATTTTTCACACTTACAACACTGCAACATCTCCATGGTCATGTGAACAAAATTTGAACTCTTGGCAACTAGCATGTATCTATGATGGTTGCAGTGTCTCAGAGTCCTGTGATCATCTTTTGTGACCTTCTGCCAAGCAAAGTCAATGAGAAAGCCAAATTCACTTAATCACCTTAACAACTGCAGTGATTCACTTACGAACTATGGCAATAAAGGTCATAAAATGGGGCAAAATTCACTTAACAACTGTCTGGCTTGGCAAGAGAAATTTTGAGCTCAATCATGGTCCTAAGTCAAGGACTACCTGTACTAAATAGCTTTTGGAGAAACAAGTGTGGGTTTTTTAAAAATATGAGAAGTTGTCAAACTATCTTTTGTTTTGTTTTATTTTAGACATACAATGGTCAGAATGAAAATAATGAAGATTATGAAATCCCTCCTATTACTCCTCCTAATCTCCCTGATCCATCCCTTCTTCATTTGGTGGATCATGAAACTGGATATCATTCATTGTGCCACAGTCTCCCCCCAAATAGCCTGATACCAGCATATTCCTACCAGAATATGGATCTTCCTGCTATCATGGTATCTAATATGTTGAGCCAAGATGGGCACCTCCTGTCTAGTCAGCTACCTACCGTGAGTAAAATTTTTCTATTATTGTACCTCATTTTGTATACCTCAACCTTTCTATATCATGATTCCAAATATAATGGAATACAATTTAGCAGAGGGGACATCAATTACTACTTATTCCTGAGATAAAAATTAGATCTGATACTTTTTAAAATTAAAGATGTTCTTGACTATGATAAATGAAGATTCTTAATTGCAAAGCCCATGGCTTATTTTAAGAACCACCATTAAGTAACTGAGTATTTCTGCTTTGCTAACCCAGATACTTTTGTTAATCTGTCATCTTGTATATTGTTTTGCTGACATAATAACAACATGCATGCAAATAAAACCTTTTATGAATTTAGTTATGGACTAAATTCTACTATGTCAGTTCAGCTCTAGTTGGTAGATTTTTTTTTTCACTTCTCAGTCTAGGGCTGAAAAAGAATAACTGGCTCAAAATCACTCCTCCAACTTCCATGTCTAAAGCAGGACTAGAACTGTCATATCTTTTGTTCTTAGTCCAGCATCTTAACCATTGTACTACACTGGGTAGTATATATATTTATACCATCACATTAATCTTAGTTACTTTATGATGAACAAAGTGAATTTTCTCATTAGCTTATGGGATATGCTGAACAATGGACAATAAATTCGATATTTGGAAAATGCTATACAAATAATTTTAATTTAGATATTTTTTCTTATTTCCTATCTTTTTTTACAAGATATTATAAGATTGTTGTCTGTGAGTGAAGTACCTCAGCAGAATAGCCTAGAAATAATAAAAAGAACACTGAAAAAACAGAAAGAGCACAGACCTTTAGAACAGATCAGAACTGTACATTTTCAATCCGCAATCCCTTCACTGTACCAATGTCCATCAAGTTTTTTCTGCTGGCAAAATAAAATGGGCATAAATTGGCAATGATTGACATGCTAAAAAAACAACCTCAAGTTCTATTGTATATTCAAAAAATCCTAAAATAAAAAGTTTGAATTACTGTAATATGAAACCTTTGGATTAGATGTTACTCTTTAGCAGCATAGGAATAATTTGTTAAATTTAAGAAAAAGATAGGTCTGGAAAGAATTTTTAAAAGACCTTGTCCAGAACTAATATAAGAAAAAAATGCCTGTTATATCAACTTCAGCTGTGGCTTAACAAGCAATATGGAAATTACAGATTTAGAGTAATGATTATTAGCTTCAGAGAATCTAGAGAATATTTTTTTATTTAAAACAGTTAAATTTCACTTTCCTAATATTTGGTGACTAATAATAAATGGAGAAAGTAAATGAATTATAATAAATAATAGTGTAGAAATGGGGAGAAATATAATATCAAAATATCCCTGCATGAAATAATTCTAAATTATCTCATAATCAAATGATAAATAAAATTTCCCCTATTAGCATATGCTGATCAATATAATATAATACTCAAGGTATGGGGAACTTTGGCTTTACTGTCTGCTATTGGGAGATCTTATTTCTCAGTCTAACCTACGTTTAAGAATAGATGGTTGGAATAACCATCTATTCACCTTGTTCACTAAATCTGTAGTAAACAAATTATAAATATACAAAAATACATAGATACATGGATACATACATACATAAAATCTTTACAGATCACATCTTGGAAACATGCTTCACCTATTAAAAACTATTTTTGAGAGAAGCTAGTGCTCAGGGTGTTCCTAGAAAAAGAAATAGAAAGAGAGAATTTTTTTTTTTTTGCAAAAATTAGCAATAAATAATAGAGTATAAACCAGGAGAATCTCATCCTACCCCTTCACTAAAATCCCCTACATTTTCAGAGATTCAATTTCTTTGTGTCTAATTGAAGGGATTCCATTAATACTTACTGTCATGGCCATCTCCCACTCAACAGATACTTTTGTGTGAAATCAAACATTACTTTATGGTCCTCTTCAGCCGAGTTGATTAAACCATTCATTTCTGAGACAAAAGAGTCAATTTCATATGAAAGATATTTTCCTCTCAATTTAATTTAAAGCACAGACCCAATGCCTGACCCCTATTTTCATAACATGATAATTTTATTCTATGTTGATTGTCTCATTTTTGAGAAAAGATATTACACATATAAATCAGTTTCTAAAATATCCAAAGAAATGAGGAGAATGGGATTTATTAAGCATCTTACACACATATGAAATAATTTATTTTGGAATAGTCCTTGGGAAATGTTCTGTACTTTATGGTTCAGTTTTATAAATGCAGCATCATGACAATAAATCAGGACTGAGTTGCAAGAAGATAAGAAGGGGGCTTAGTGTCCTATAAGCATAGAATAGGGATATTAAGATTTGTTTCCCCCTTGTAATGAAAATGAAAATCGAAAACAAATCCGGGAAGTCCAAGTTTCCCAGCTGATTGTCAGTGAAGAGTGTTTTATTTTAAATGGTGCATCTGGAGTGTTGACATATCCCAAAGGTTTTCAACTGCAAAAAGGGTGTTAAGGAAGAAAATTGTCTTTCTATTTTAAGGCCAAAATAATTTTTCTCTTTTCTGTCAAATATATTTTTCCAAACCATTAACATTTCCATCCCTGATTAAATGTCATGTCACAATAAATCAGCCATTCATTCCCAGTATTTGCACCATATGTAGGCTAGGCAACATCTCTCCCAGTAACGTACCTAGAAATTCTCCAAGTGGCATTAATACAATATATATTTTATTTAATTATATACTATTTCTATTTGTTTTACCCAAGACAGTTTACAACAATTGAAAATAGAGTATCAAACAACAATAATAACAAAAGATTACTACACAATTAACACAATTAACATTAAAATCAAATTCAATTATTAAAATAATAATTAAAAGGTTGTTGAAACATTTAGCATCTTTTTAAATACATGGATAGTGACAAATATCTTTTTCCATATGGTCTGGGAGCTATTTGGGAGAAAATTCATGCCTGCATACCGATACTAGAGCATCTGGTAATGGAAACATATTCAAAAGAGTCATTGTCACTGATCTAAACAACCTATCAAGTTTATAACAGGAGCAATAGAGAACCAGACTCTAAACCATTTAGGATTTTAAAGATTAACACCAGGACTTATACAATTGTGTGATACACAATTGGTAAATTTGCATATCTTTTAAGTAGCATGAATCCTGTACCATGAACTGGTCAATAGCTGTCAGCCTTTCAAAGTAGGCAAGGCAAGTAAATAGGAATCACTAAAAGTCTTGGAGTGTACTCTAAAGGTTAGGGTATTGTAACAAAATCCTAGATGACTGTCAAGCCTTTCTCCTCTTCAAATAATACCTACCACAATCAAGGCAGACCTGTTTTGAGTTGCTTTCTCACCCCAATTTTTTATAATAGCACAACAGTCTGGCTGCTACATTTTGCATCAATTGCAGTTTTCAGGCACTTTTCAAGAACAGCTGTACTTCATTATATTCATTATATTACGATACACTTGCGCTGTTCTATTATCACAGTTTTTCCTCTAAAAATGTTTCAATGCTCAATATATATTTCCTAAACAAGGTGACATCCAAAGACAGTGTCTTAACTTCCACCAATAAAGGTACACTACACAAAGTGTACACAAAATATAGATAGACCTGTCAATGTTTGTATACCTACATATTTATGTGTGCAATAAGTTATAGAAGTAGTTCTTACTTAATGATCACAATTGGAACTGGAATCTTGGTCACTGAGCAAAGCAGTTGCTAAGCAAGATATCACATGACAGCTTTACTCAATGACTGTGGGTTGTTAAGCAGAGAGAGTCCCAAGTAAGAAACATGGGGAGGCCTCAGTTGGGCATGAGCCCTGGGAGGCCCAGCATAGGATACACATGAAACACTTTCCCACATACACAAAGGGTCAAATGCCTAAGAAGCCTCCACAGTGGAGCAGAAAACAGTTGTCCTCTGAGAAGTTTCAAATGCCTGGGAGGCTCCAGTGATGCACTACAGTGCAAAGGAACCCTCCCCTTATGAAGAGCCAAATACACAGGAAGCCCCAGTTCAGACCCCCTAGCCCCACTGCCCTTGTAGCCCTGCATTCCATCACAGCCAGGCCCTTTGTGAGGACGAAGAAGAAAATGAAATGCTAAAGACAGTTGCTCAGATGCAGCCTATTAAAATGTTCCTTTTCACTGTGGTCCTGGATGGAGCTACAAAATTACTGCAGGCTTTACAGTGAAAGAAAGGGAAAGATAAGCTGTCCTCACTTTCTCAAGACATTGCGAAGAAGGTGCAGCTCTCATCAATCCCAAAATGAAAAGTTTTGGATTGGCTTCCTGTGGGTTAAAACAACCAAGCTGATTCCTAGAGGAAATTGGCTTCAGCTTGGCTTCCGGTGACAGGAAGCCAAGCTGAAGCCTATCTCTGCTAGGAATCAGCTTGGTCGTTTTAACCCACAGGAAGCCAAGTTTAAACCAATCTTCTCTAGGAATCGTCTTGGTGATTTTAACTTATAGGAAGCCAATCCCTCTAGGCTTGTGATGTTATCTGGAAGAATTTGAGCTCTCAAGGAAGTAGACAGGATCCCTAAGCTATAGGTAGGGCCACTTGAATATTAGATCCCTGAAAGGAGGCAGCATATGAGTAGATCCGTGCAGTGATAAATATGTCTTTGAAAGGGGGGGTGGTTTTGCCAGTTCTGAAAGAGGCAATGGTGTACTGCTTCCTCAAGAGGCCATCCTTGGAACCAACTAATCTGGATATTTTCATCCAGTCTCCAACCTTCTCCTTTTAAGGAAGGTTTGAGAAGGTGGTCAGCCTCAGCATCAGAGGACCCTGATGAAAGTGGATTATCATTTCGGACAGGATTCAGAGTAGGATATAGTATGGAGACAACTTTGTTTGATGATCTGTAGTGAGCTCAGAATGGGGATAGTGCATCCATTCTGACTGTGATCTCTTGCTGGCCTTCATTCCCATCCACTTTGGTATCGTTTTGGATTGACTGAGATTTGGGGGGGGGGGTACCATTCTCCAGTATCTCTTCT